AAAAATAAAACAAATAAGATTAACGAGAGTTTTTCGAACTTATCCAAACATTAATCAGAAAATTTCTCCAAAAACTTTCCAAATTAAGTATTTATAAACTAAAATGCAAGAGATTCCAGAGATTCTTTCAAATTCTCAAAAAAAGCAGAGGGGATTCTGAAGTTTTTCAAAAATAAAACAGAAGAGATCTCCCAGACTATTTTAAACTCATTCAAAAATCAACCAGAAAAAAAGCGCCCAGATTCTTTCAAATTTTTTCATAAATAAAACAAAATAGATTACCAAGAATGTTGGAACTCATTCAAAAATCAATCAGAAAAGTTCTCCGAAATTTTTAAAATTATTAAAAAATTTAAAAACAAGGGATTTCCGAGGTTCTTTTAAATTTTCAAAAAAAACAGAAGAGATCCCGAAAGTTTTTCAAAAATAAAATAAAAGAGATCACCACATTCTTTCGAACTCATTCGAAAATTTCTCCGAGACGTTTCAAATTATTTAAAAAATAAAACACAAGGGATTCCCGAGAATCTTTTAAATTCTCAAAAAAAGAACGGAACAGATCCTAGAGTTTTTTAAAACAAAGCAGAGGAGGTTCCTCAAATTCTTTATAAAAGAAGACACAAATGGTCTCCGAGATTCTTTTAAACTCATTCAAAAATTAACCAGAAAAAATCTCTGAGATTCTTTCAAATTTTTTCAAAAATAAAACAAAAGGGATCTCCGAGATTCTTTCGAACTCATGAAAAAACAAATAGAAAAATCCCCGAGCTTCTTCAAATTGTTTAAAAAGAAAACACATTGGATTCCTTTGATTTTTTTTAAACTCTTTAAAAAGTAAAACAGAAGAGATTGCCAAGATTCTTTCGAACACGTTCAAAATTGAATCAGAAAATTTTTCCTAAATTTTTAAAATTATTAAAAAATTACGTACAAACAAGGGATTTCCGAGATTCTTTTAAATGCTCAAAAAAACAGAAGAGATCCCGAAAGTTTTTCAAAAATAAAACAAAAGAGATCAGCCCATTCTTTCGAACTCATTCAAAAATCAATCAGAAAATTTCTCCGAGACGTTTCAAATTATTTAAAAAATAAAACACAAGGGATTCCCGAGAATCTTTTAAATTCTCAAAAAAAAAGGAACGGATCCTAGAGTTTTTTAAAATAAGGCAGAGGAGGTTCCTCAAATTCTTTATAAAAGAAGACACAAATGGTCTCCGAGATTCTTTTAAACTCAATCAAAAATTAACCAGAAAAAATCTCTGAGATTCTTTCAAATTTTTTCAAAAATAAAACAAAAGGGATCTCCGAGATTCTTTCGAACTCATGAAAAAACAAATAGAAAAATCTCCGAACTTCTTCAAATTGTTTAAAAAGCAAACACATGGGATTTCTGTGATTTTTTTAAACTCTTTAAAAAATAAAACAGAAGAGATTGCCAAGATTCTTTCGAACGCATTCAAAATTGAATCAGAAAATTTTTCCTAGATTTTTGAAATTATTAAAAAAATTACGTACAAACAAGGGATTCCCGAGATTCTTTTAAATTCTCAAAAGAAAAACAGAAGGAATCCCAAAAGTTTTTCAAAAATAAAACAAAAGAGATCACCCCATTCTTTCGAACTCATTCAAAAATCAATCAGAAAATTTCTCCGAGGCTTTTCAAATTATTTAAAAAATGAAACACAAGGGATTCCCGAGAATCTTTTAAATTCTCAAAAAAGAACGCAACGGATCCTAGAGTTTTTTAAAATAAAGCAGAGGAGGTTCCTCAAATTCTTTATAAAAGAAGACACAAATGGTCTCCGAGATTCTTTTAAACTCATTCAAAAATTAACCAGAAAAAATCCCTTAGATTCTTTCAAATTTTTTCAAAAATAAAACAAAAGAGATCTCCGAGATTCTTTCGAACTCATGAAAAGACAAATAGAAAAATCCTCGAGCTTCTTCAAATTGTTTAAAAAGAAAACACATGGGATTCCTGTGATTTTTTTAAACTCTTTAAAAAATGAAACAGAAGAGATTGCCAACATTCTTTCGAACTCGTTCAAAATTGAATCAGAAAATTTTTCCTAAATTTTTAAAATTATTAAAAAATTACGTACAAACAAGGGATTTCCGAGATTCTTTTAAATGCTCAAAAAAACAGAAGAGATCCCGAAAGTTTTTCAAAAATAAAACAAAAGAGATCACCCCATTCTTTCGAACTCATTCAAAAATCAATCAGAAAATTTCTCCGAGACTTTTCAAATTATTTAAAAAATAAAACACAAGGGATTCCCGAGAATCTTTTAAATTCTCAAAAAAAAACGGAACGGATCCTAGAGTTTTTTTAAAATAAAGCAGGGGAGGTTCCTCAAATTCTTTATAAAAGAAGACACACATGGTCTCCGAGATTCTTTTAAACTCATTCAAAAATTAACCAGAAAAAATCTCTGAGATTCTTTCAAATTTTTTCAAAAATAAAACAAAAGGGATCTCCGAGATTCTTTCGAACTCATGAAAAAACAAATAGAAAAATCTCCGAACTTCTTCAAATTGTTTAAAAAGCAAACACATGGGATTTCTGTGATTTTTTTAAACTCTTTAAAAAATAAAACAGAAGAGATTGCCAAGATTCTTTCGAACGCATTCAAAATTGAATCAGAAAATTTTTCCTAGATTTTTGAAATTATTAAAAAAATTACGTACAAACAAGGGATTCCCGAGATTCTTTTAAATTCTCAAAAAAAAACACAAGCGATCCCAAAAGTTTTTCAAAAATAAAATAAAAGAGATCACCACATTCTTTCGAACTCATTCGAAAATCAATCAGAAAATTTCTCCGAGACGTTTCAAATTATTTAAAAAATAAAACACAAGGGATTCCCGAGAATCTTTTAAATTCTCAAAAAAAGAACGGAACAGATCCTAGAGTTTTTTAAAACAAAGCAGAGGAGGTTCCTCAAATTCTTTATAAAAGAAGACACAAATGGTCTCCGAGATTCTTTTAAACTCATTCAAAAATTAACCAGAAAAAATCTCTGAGATTCTTTCAAATTTTTTCAAAAATAAAACAAAAGGGATCTCCGAGATTCTTTCGAACTCATGAAAAAACAAACAGAAAAATCTCCGAGCTTCTTCAAATTGTTTAAAAAGAAAACACATGGGATTCCTGTGATTTTTTTAAACTCTTTAAAAATGAAACAGAAGAGATTGCCAAGATTCTTTCGAACTCATTCAAAATTGAATCAGAAAATTTTTCCTAGATTTTTGAAATTATTTAAAAAATTACGTACAAACAAGGGATTCCCGAGATTCTTTTAAATTCTCAAAAGAAAAACAAAAGGAATCCCAAAAGTTTTTCAAAAATAAAACAAAAGAGATCACCAACATTCTTTCGAACTCATTCAAAAATCAATCAGAAAATTTCTCCGAGACTTTTCAAATTATTTAAAAGAAAAAAACACAAGGGATTCCCGAGAATCTTTTAAATTCTCAAAAAAAAAACGGAACGGATCCTAGAGTTTTTTAAAATAAAGCAGGGGAGGTTCCTCAAATTCTTTATAAAAGAAGACACAAATGGTCTCCGAGATTCTTTTAAACTCATTCAAAAATTAACCAGAAAAAATCTCTGAGATTCTTTCAAATTTTTTCAAAAATAAAACAAAAGAGATCTCCGAGATTCTTTCGAACTCATGAAAAAACAAATAGAAAAATCCCCGAGCTTCTTCAAATTGTTTAAAAAGAAAACACATTGGATTCTTTTGATTTTTTTTTAAACTCTTTTAAAAGTAAAACAGAAGAGATTGCCAAGATTCTTTCGAACTCATTCAAAATTGAATCAGAAAATTTTTCCTACATTTTTAAGATTATTAAAAAAATTACGTACAAACAAGGGATTCTCGAGATTCTTTTAAATTCTCAAAAAAACACAAGCGATCCTAAAAGATTTTCAAAAATAAAATAAAAGAAATCACCAACATTCTTTCGAACGAAAGACACAAATGTTCTCCGAGATTCTTTTAGACTCATTCAAAAATTAACCAGAAAAAATCCCTTAGATTCTTTCAAATTTTTTCAAACATAAAACAAAAGAGATCTCCGAGATTCTTTCGAACTCATGAAAAAACAAATAGAAAAATCCTCGAGCTTCTTCAAATCGTTTAAAAAGAAAACACATGGGATTCCTGAGATTTTTTTAAACTCTTTAAAAATTAAAACAATGATTTTTCTTAGATTTTTCAAATTATTAAAAAATAATAATAGTACACATAGTAAAATAAATAAAATAGCAAAAATCAGGATGTTTCTCATCTTAAGTTTCTATGCAATCACACAATACTTTATTTATTTTTCAAAAATTGATATATTATAGCGCGAACTTACGGAATTAATTTCACAACTAGTTTTCCCATTTGAACTGTACAACGTTAATAATAATTTATACTTACAATTTTCCCACAGGTTTTACAGAACTATTCGCCGTTTTCTATTTGAAAAACGTCTTTGTTTTTCGTTCGATACTAGATGATAAACAATTTTTAAAACACTTTTACACTTTACGAAAACCCAACACGAACCAACTGATACAGGAAGAGAACTCGAAAAAAAAGTTGTAGAAGGGCTTGTTGTATTTAACACATCAAAGCTCTTCCCAGAAAAGCAAGAACAAGAAAATTTCTTGTGGCCTAGTTATAATTGACTGTTATAAAAGTGAAAATTGTCGCTGTCAGTGTAACAAGTAAAAAAGCATGTGGAAAACTGCGTTTGTACAATATAGTAATGAATCAAAATAGCGTGATCATTTAACTGTAGTCAGACAATGATCGTTTGATTGAGTTTTACGTCAGTCGCCTATATTTGCAGACAAATGTTTCCCCAGATGAAGTTCAGAGTGTCCGGCTTGGACCTGAAAGCCAAATACATACTCCTATTGGACATAGTCGCCGCAGACGACTACAGATACAAATTCCATAACAGGTGACTACCATGCCATCTCTAATACCTACTCAATGTTTCAGGCGTATGTTTCCTGCCTTCAAAGTACGCGTATCGGGCTTAGACAAAAAATCCAAATATATCCTACTAATGGACATCGTAGCTGCTGACGATTGTAGATATAAATTCCATAACAGGTTAGAACAAAAAAAACTTACTCTTACTTATAATTTCCTCCTCCATTGGTGTTTGATTTAATTAATTTTAAACGAACCTCGTATGCGACAGACCGATCATGACGCTGGGACTTTTCGTTACTTTTCCTCTTCTCTATCGCATTTTCGTTCTGTTCGTACGAAAGGTCGTTCGGGTGTTTGTTTTTCGAGAATCCCGACCCAGCCGATCCAAAAACAGATGCCCGAATTATGTGTGTTTTTTTGAAAGGCACGAAGCATGCGTAATTCTGTCGACCAGTAGACCGAAATAACAAAATCGAGAATTGTGCATTTTTGTTATTTCTGAGTTGCATGTACGGGGTGGCGCGAAAGCTTATTAATCGAAGAACTTACAGCAGGTGGATGGTGGCGGGCAAGGCGGACCCCGAAATGCCCAAAAGGATGTACATCCACCCGGACAGCCCGTCCACGGGGGAGCAGTGGATGCAGAAGGTGGTGTCGTTCCACAAGCTCAAGCTGACGAACAACATCTCCGACAAGCACGGATTCGTAAGTATTTTTTGAGTTTTCCGGGCGAAACGTACGAAACTAAAACCGGGCGGAAAAGTCTACTATCGAAAAAGTAGGTCTCCTGTTTCTGACTGTTGTATTCGATAAATAATTTAATTTAAATTTTTAATAAAAACATTATTACTTAAAAAATGAGAAGAATATCTATTTTCAGGATATATTTTTATTTCGTTCTTGATTTTCTATTTCTATCCCCGAGATTTTTCAAATTGCTTAATAAAAGGGATCCTTGAAAGTCTTCTAAATTCTTTAAAAAATACAAACGACAGAAGTAATTCCCAATATTATTTTAAAGTTTTTCAAAAAAAAAGAAGAAAAAAAAAAGAGATCCGGAGATTCCTCAAATTTGTTAAAAAAAGCACCTATGGTTTTCGAGATTCTTTTAAACCCATTCTAAAATTACCCAGAAAAAATCCAATGATTCTTTCAAAATTTTTCAAAAATAAAAGAGAAAAAATTACCAAGATCCTTTCGAATTCAACCGGAAAACTTCCCCGAATTTTCAAACTGTTTCAAAATAAAAAATAAGTGGTCTTCGAGATTCTTTTAAACCCATTCAAAAATTAAACAAAAAAAATTCCCGAGATTCTTTCAAACTTTGTCAAACATGAAACAGGAGAGATCTCCAAGATTGTTTAAAAGTTATTTTTGGAATATCAGTGAAAATGAATAAGTCGGAAAAATTTCCCGGGATTCTTCAAATTCGTTAAAAAAACGCACATGGTTTTCGAGATTCATTTAAACTCATGCTAAAATTAACCAAAAAAGAATCTCTAGATTCTTTCAAAATGTGTCAAAAATAAAACAGACATTGCCAATATTCTTTCGAACTCAACCAGAAAATTTCCCCAAGATTTTCAAATTGTTTAAAAAAAACCAAAAAGATTTCCGAGATTCTTTTAAATCATAAAAAAAATAAAATAAGACAGAAGAGATCCTCAAGATTCTATTAAACTCATTCGATAATCAAGCAGAAAAAGAGATTCTTTCGAACTCTTTCAAAATGAAAATAAAATAGATTCTTGAGAGTCTTTTAAATTCTTTAAAAAATAAAAACAACAGACGCAATTCCCAAGCTTATTTTAAAGTTTTTCAAAAAAAATAAATAAAAAAAGAGATCCCGAGATTCCTCAAATTCGTTAAAAAAAGCACCTACGGTTTTCGAGATTCTTTTAAACCCATTCTAAAATTACCCAGAAAAAATCCCATGATTCTTTCAAAATTTTTCAAAAAAAAAGAGAAAAAATTACCAAGATCCTTTCAAACTTCCCCGAATTTTCAAACTGTTTCAAAATAAAAAATAAATGGTCTTCGAGAGTCTTTTAAACTCATTCAAAAATTAAACAAAAGAAATTCCCGAGATTCTTTCAAACTTTGTCAAAAATAAAACAGGAGAGATCTCCAAGATAGTTCAAAAGTTATTTTTTGATGATCAGTGAAAATGAATCAGTCAGAAAAATTTCCCGAGGTTCTTTAAATTCGTTAAAAAAACACATATGGTTTTCGAGATTCATTCAAACTCATGCTAAAATTAACCAAAAAAAGAATCTCTAGATTCTTTCAAAATGTGTCAAAAATAAAACAGAAGACATTGCCAATATTGTCTCCAACTCAACCAGAAAATTTCCCCAAGATTTTCAAATTGTTGAAAAAAAGACAAAAGAGATCTCCGAGATTCTTTTAAATCCTCAAAAAAATAAAATAAGACAGAAGAGACCTCAAGATTCTATTAAACTCAGTCAATAATCAAGCAGAAAAAAGAGATTCTTTTAAACTCTTTCAAAAAGAAAATAAAACAGATTCTTGAGAGTCGTTTAAATTCTTTAAAAAATAAAAACAACATACGCAATTCCCAAGATTATTTTAAAGTTTTTCAAAAAAAAAAGAAAAAAAAGAGATCCCGAAATTCCTCAAATTCGTTAAAAAGAGCACCTACGGTTTTCGAGATTCTTTTAAACCCATTCTAAAATTACCCAGAAAAAATCCCATGATTCTTTCAAAATTTTTCAAAAAAAAAGAGAAAAAATTACCAAGATCCTTTCGAACTCAACCGGAAAACTTCCCCGAATTTTCAAACTGTTTCAAAATAAAAAATAAATGTTCTTCGAGATTCTTTTAAACTCATTCAAAAATTAAACAAAAAAAATTCCCGAGATTCTTTCAAACTTTGTCAAAAATAAAACAGGAGGGATCTCCAAGATAGTTTAAAAGTTATTTTTTGAATATCAGTGAAAATGATTCAGTCGGAAAAATTTCCCGAGATTCTTTAAATTCGTTAAAAAAAACAGATATGGTTTTCGAGATTCATTTAAACTCATGCTAAAATTAACCAAAAAAAGAATCTCTAGATTCTTTCAGAATGTGTCAAAAATAAAACAGACATTGCCAATATTCTTTCGAACGCAACCAGAAAATTTCCCCAAGATTTTCAAATTGTTTAAAAAAAACGAAAGAGATTTCCGAGATTCCTTTAAATCCTCAAAAAAATAAAATAAGACAGAAGAGATCCTCAAGATTCTGCTAAACTCATTCAATAATCAAGCAGAAAAAGAGATTCTTACAAACTCTTTCAAAAAGAAAATAAAAGAGATTCTTGCGAGTCGTTTAAATTATTTAAAAAACAAAAACACCAGACGCAATTCCCAAGATTATTTTAAAGTTTTTCAAAAAAAAAAAGAAAAAAAAAGATTCCGAGATTCCTCAAATTCGTTAAAAAAAGCACCTATGGTTTTCGAGATTCTTTTAAACCCATTCTAAAATTTCCCAGAAAAAATCCCATGATTCTTTCAAAATTTTTCAAAAATAAAGGAGAAAAAATTACCAAGATCCTTTGGAACTCAGCCGGAAAACTTCCCCGAATTTTCAAACTGTTTCAAAATAAAAAATAAATGGTCTTCGAGATTCTTTTAAACTCATTCAAAAATTAAACAAAAAATTCCCCAGATTCTTTCAAACTTTGTCAAAAATAAAACAGGAGAGATCTCCAAGATTGTTCAAAAGTTATATTTTGAATATCAGTGAAAATGAATCAGTCAGAAAAATTTCCCGAAATTCTTCAAATTCGTTAAAAAAACACATATTGTTTTCGAGATTCATTTAAACTCATGCTAAAATTAACCAAAAACAGAATCCCTAGGTTCTTTCAGAATGTGTCAAAAATAAAACAGACATTGCCAATATTCTTTCGAACTCAACCAGAAAATTTCCCCAAGATTTTCAAATTGTTTAAAAAAAAAACAAAAGAGATCTCCGAGATTCTTTTAAATCATAAAAAAGATAAAATAAGACAGAAGAGATCCTCAAGATTCTATTAACCTCGTTCAATAATCAAGCAGAAAAACGAGATTCTTTCAAACTCTTTCAAAAAGAAAATAAAAGAGATTCTTGAGAGTCTTTTAAATTCTTTAAAAAATAAAAACAACAGACGCAATTCCCAAGATTATTTTAAAGTTTTTCAAAAAAAAAAGAAAAAAAAGAGATCCCGAAATTCCTCAAATTCGTTAAAAAGAGCACCTACGGTTTTCGAGATTCTTTTAAACCCATTCTAAAATTACCCAGAAAAAATCCCATGATTCTTTCAAAATTTTTCAAAAAAAAAGAGAAAAAATTACCAAGATCCTTTCGAACTCAACCGGAAAACTTCCCCGAATTTTCAAACTGTTTCAAAATAAAAAATAAATGGTCTTCGAGATTCTTTTAAACTCATTCAAAAATTAAACAAAAAAAATTCCCGAGATTCTTTCAAACTTTGTCAAAAATGAAACAGGAGAGATCTCCAAGATTGTTTAAAAGTTATTTTTGGAATATCAGTGAAAATGAATAAGTCGGAAAAATTTCCCGGGATTCTTCAAATTCGTTAATAAAACGCACATGGTTTTCGAGATTCATTTAAACTCATGCTAAAATTAACCAAAAAAAGAATCTCTAGATTCTTTCAAAATGTATCAAAAATAAAACAGACATTGCCAATATTCTTTCGAACTCAACCAGAAAATTTCACCAAGATTTTCAAATTGTTTAAAAGAAAACGAAAGAGATCTCCGAGATTCTTTTAAATCCTCAAAAAAATTAAATAAGACAGAAGAGATCCTCAAGATTCTATGAAACTCGTTCGATAATCAAGCAGAGAAAAGAGATTCTTTCAAACTCTTTCAAAAAGAAAATAAAAGAGATTCTTGAGAGTCGTTTAAATTATTTAAAAAATAAAAACAACTGACGCAATTCCCAAGATTATTTTAAAGTTTTTCAAAAAAAAAGAAAAAGAAGATCTCGAGATTCCTCAAATTCGTTAAAACAAGCACCTATGGTTTTCGAGATTCTTTCAAACCCATTCTAAAATTACCCAGAAAAAATCCCATGATTCTTTCAAAATTTTTCAAAAATAAAAGAGAAAAAATTACCAAGATCCTTTCGAACTCAACCGGAAAACTTCCCTGAATTTTCAAACTGTTTCAAAATAAAAAATAAATGATCTTCGAAATTCTTTTAAACTCATTCAAAAATTAAACAAAAAAATTCCCGAGATCCTTCAAATTGTTTAAAAAATTCAACATAAAAATTCTCGATATTCAAATCTCTCAGAATATGAAAAATTAGCTTCCCCATTTCCGTCTGTTGTCGTCTGTCGTTCGTCTGTTGCTCGTTGGGGATTTTAATCCACATATAATCTCCAAAACTACTAGATTGATTGTTGTAATATTTAACAAGTATGTATTTTAAAAATATCGTGTAAACTTGTCTGATTTGCGATCACCCCCACCAAACGCTTTTTATGACGTCATTTAAAAAGTGCGCAAAGCAACTTTCGCGTTTTCGCATTTTTGAAAACAGTTTTGAGACACATTAAAGAAACGAATCTACTTTTCGTTGTCTGATTTGTGAGCCGCTTTTACTTTTGTACGTTTTGCCCACTTTCGGACACGTTTTCTTTCGTTCGTTCCTTTTTTCCGAGATGAAATTAACGTGAAATGTGGCCCGAA